CTTGCTGTCAGTTTATCATTTCATTCAATTCTTCTAAATAAATCTGAATGTATATACCAGAGTTGATGGCTCTGACATCTGTGAAAAGTCTTTTATAGAAAGTGGGTGAATCCAGGTTACCTGTGAGTCACTGTATTGAAAATTACCAACAGAAGAAACCTCAAGTGTACCCTACTTAAATAACCATTTAATTGTTCCTAGGTCCTGTACATGTGTATATGTCACTTTTTGATCGTACAAAGAAGGTGTTTTAAGTATATCCTTGGAAAAGTCTATGTAGCTGTGGATGGATCATGCGCTATGAGTACTCCGTGAGGCCTCATATTCTATTCAAATTTTTTGTTTCAGAGCTAAGTAAAATAATCTATAGCTAAGAAAGATATATATTGAGAATCATAATTTTTATCAGGGTATCTTACAAATAAGAACACAGTCCTTGAAATAAGATGACATGGAGGTTAGATTTCCTAATATCTTGTGTGATGACCTCTCTTTTGGAATTTTAGTTTCATATAAAAATTAATACCTTTTCCAGGACTATGAGAACATGGCCATGTTTTTAAAACATATATTAAATTCTAGTAAACAAATATACTTATAGTACCCGATACAGTGAATAAATGTGCATTCATTAGATACAATTTGTATTTTAAACAAGAGTCAAATAAGATATTTTTCCATGCAATGCTGCAACTTAAATATGAGGTACTATTACCTTACTAAAAAAGTTTAATTATTGAATATGGTAATTTGCTCAGCCACAGAGCTGCTACTCTGCGTCATGCATATGTGTATACATCTGTATATATATATATATATATATATATATATATATATATATATAGAGAGAGAGAGAGAGAGAGAGAGAGAGACTATACTGATACATACATATATATACATATATTTGCAGACTAATATAATATACATAATTATTTACTTTGTCTCAAATATTATTGGGAAATGATGTCATTCTTACAATCTGTCATTGTTGTGAGAGTGACTATTCTATACTATGGGCTGTAAGACACCTATGAGTCAAATGAAAACAATTGGGACTTTTATTTTTGGTTTTACACTATATTTACATGTTCCTTAATATGTGCAAATGTCAAACCAGGCTTCTAGTCTGGAAAAAAAATGCTGTCTTGGATGACAAATGTACCTTAATATAGTACAGAATTATTCTATTTTAAAGATAACATTTTTTGATTTCCAGTATTAGTTATAGAAGAAGGAATATTCTATGTAATATACTTATGTGGTTCACTAGGTAGGGTGGTCTGTATATTTAACTAGGGAAATTAGTAAATTCGGAAATATTGTATGTAGTCATTTCTGTATAGATAAATATAGATATTCAAATACAACCTTTATGTTTATTGTTATAACTTATTTGCAATATGTTATTATTGAGAAATATTTTCAACACACATATATCTGAGCCATGTCAATTATCGTTTTGAAAGTGACTTTGTTCCAACTTAAGTAAAGCTGATTTCTTTTTACTTAGATTTTATTCTTACCTCAAATTACTTTGTATCTGTTAAAAAAGCTTCACTGAATAAATGAGAACACTCATGAATTTTCTCTCATTTACTACACCTATAGCTGAGAAAGTAAAAGCAGTTTTCTATTGAATAGAATCAGCATCACTTCTTCAATTAGGTCAGGGCTCTCTGCCACTTAAAAATGACAGAAAAAGCAATGTGATCCAAACTCCAACACCACAGAGAAGGCTATTTGACCTTCCTAGGATCTCTGCTAGTTTTGGCCTCTAATCCCTTCTGTGAAGAACTGCTAACCTATTATGAGGCTCTTGGCCTCTGGAGTCATGAGAAAGATGGAAAATAATTACAAAAAATATGAAAATTTATGTTTCTTCTCAACACACAGATCTTCCAAATAAACTCTTCCTATGAATATTTACTTACTCTCTGATCTTCCTTTAATTTGTAAAACTAGATATTTTTGAAATTATAATGTCAGTTGATATCAGAGGGAAACTGTGTGACTGACATTGATGGTCAAATACAAGCATCATACAAATGAAACAGGACATTTATATGAGCACATGGCCTCATAGTAAAGGGACAGTTATTGTGAGTATGAATAAGCGAGTGAATTTTGACTTCCTAAATTCAATTTCCATCCTAGAATTGATAATTCATGATCCATTCCACCTTGGGCAAATTTTTTGATCTCTCTAATTCATGAATATGAAAGATTTGCAAAATGGGTTTATTCAGGTTTGTTTTAAGAACGAAATTGAATGAGCTGTGCCAAACAGTTAAGACAAAATTTTACAAAGTAAACTTAAAAATGTTAGGCACCATAAACTTTGCCACTTCAATAACTTATTTCATCAAGCACACACATGTTGAAAGGATTTATTCCATGTGTAACAGAAAAAAAGTATAATGCCATCAACTGTCTAAAATAATTAGCAGAACAGAACATTATAAAACAGTTTTCTTTACATTAATTTTGTGTTTTATTATTCTTATATATGGGGATATATTAATATCTCGGATAAGAAACTATAAATACATTCATAGTTTAGAATTCTGATTACTATTTTAGGAGTTGTCAAGTACTCAGTATTTTCAACACATGTATTTTATTTGTCAAAAACGTAAGTGTCCTAAAACAAATGTGTATGCACTACATAATGTCCTCGATATATTTGTAGATAGATACATACCAGAACTAGGCTGATACACATGAGAGTTGTGTAATTTATTCTTCACTGGATTTTATTTTAAAGCCATTTCCATTTCCCCATTCATGCTATAGCTCCAAAATTAGTTTGGTGTTTCTGTGTGTAATGCTGTGTTACATATGAGTACATGCAGCTGTGATTGAAACTGTTCTTAGACTTTTCCTCAAATGAAAACATTCCAGGTTCAATGTGTGCGAAAGCATAATCAATAGAGAGATTTGGCTAGATGACAGTAGATGGAAGAGCTAAAGTTTCCCCCAATTTGTTTAGAAATGTAAAAAGAGCTATAACAATTTAGTCAGGAGAAAGAATGATTTTAAAAAGAACGCATTTTTATGACTATTGATTGTTTTTCAAAAGGCACTGAAAATATGGAACTTTATTATATAGCAGAAAGATAAGAAAAACGCTTTGCAGTTGTTAACTGGGGGATTTAGGATCTCAGTAAGGTCAGTTTTGCTTTACAAGCTGCCCAATGAATCAGTAATTTAGTAGATAAATATAAATGGGGCTGCACCACACAGGGGAATGCCAAGTTCCTCAATGTTTAAGAGGGCATCAACACCTGTTGTGTACTTCACTGTCAACTTACAGTGATTTAAAAAGAGACCTCAAGTCAGTCTTCAAACCTCCCTTCCACAGGTGTATATCTAAAATTGTTTGTTAGGAATTCACCCCGAGAAAAGTGACATCATGAATGTGGTCTTCCATTGTGTAGGCCACATCGCTGCAACTGCTCAGTTTTAATAATCGTATAACCTGACTTCCTTGCAGCATAAGCTAAGAAGAACACGTGTAGAAATATAACACAGAAGTGTTTGGACCAGCTCATTAGTTTTTCCTTTTCATTTTTATTTGTTTGTTTATTTATTTAGATTAGTATTTTATGTTTTGAACAATGCTCAGCCTCTATTTCAAATTTCTCCTCGGTGAGAAGTCCACCAGAAGAAAACAGCCAGGGGCTTACCTAAACTCGGAGTGGAGTTCATCCACTAGAAGTGTGACAGAAGGATGCCTCCTGTTTTCAGCACCTCCTCTCCTTGGTGTTAAAGTGCTGAAAGGCAGCTCCTGGTGGTGCTGGTCATTTCTACCAGTGCCTGGAGGAAGATAGCACCCATGACCTCAACTACAAGCCATTCACAAAACCTGAGCATGGAACCACAGTTATTGTTCATTCCCTGAAAATTCAGATGTCGAACACACACACACACACACACACACACACACACACACACACTCACACACTCCTTGTAGTTGGAGAACCACAGGAAGATAATAAAAGAAGGCGAAGAAGAAAAGAAGAAGAAGAAGAAGAAGAAGAAGAAGAAGAAGAAGAAGAAGAA